AGGGAACAGCCAGGGCCGAAGGGTCTGCGGGCAGCCGAGGGACGATGAAAGGAAACGGGACAAGCAGGCAGGGACAGGGAAAAAGGCAGGCTGCCCAAAAAAGCCAGAGCAGGCAGGAGGACGGCACACGGGAGGACGCTTGCTTTCACCCCCCTGGTCTGTGGGGATGGCACCGAGGCAACGCCAAGCGGGAGCAGCCCCGAACCCGAGCGCTTTATTAAGCTTCTTCATACGGAAAGCTACTCAGGGGGGCTCGGGGTTTGCCGGCACAGGAAAATAATTCCGCTCCAGGCAGACGGTGAGCTCACCGGGAACTGCACTGTGCCAGGCGCTGCCTGCTCATTGGGCCAGCAGGCCAAAGCCTTCGTCTTCCTGGGAGGAAGAGGATGCTGAGGAGCCTCCCCTCCTGGGCATGGGAAGGTCAGGGCTCAGCCAGCGCCGGCTTTTCCTCTTTTTACATCACAAAAAATAAGGAGGATCCAAAGGGAAGGGAGCTGGCTGCTCTGCCCTCGCATGGCAGGGAGGCTGCCGGTCATGATGGGCTGCAGGCAGGAGGCTGGGGTGGGCCGCAGGTGACCTTGGTGGCCACAGAGGGACCAGAGGCCAGCCTGGCCACCGGCCTGGCAGAAAGCCCCCAAAGGATACAATTTCTGGATGAGGTCGTAGGCGTGCTTGTAGTTCTGGGTAAGGAAGCAGAGGGACACGGTTGTCACGGGGTTGTGACACCAGGACCGGTACAGGCAGCAGAAGAGGTTACGGCTTTCCTGGGGAAAGAGGGAGCTGTTGGGGTCGGGTCACCAGCGGGAGCAAGAATGTGGTGCAGACAGCCCCGGGACCCCGACACCAACCCCTCAGGTGTGCAGGCGCTGGTGCCAGTGCCGCCCAGACACAAAGGGATGTTCCTGGACCCCCCAAGTCCACCTGGCTCTGACGCGAGCCCATCAGCCTTGTGAGACAGAGAGCAGGCAGGTTTCGGAGTGGCAGCATGATGGGGTGGCCCTGGGGACTGCACGATGAGGGGCTGGGGGACGGCAGCTGGCCCAGCCAAGGGGACACCACTGCATCACTGCCCTTCACCGCCGGCAACGGGGGCAGCTGCTCAGCAAACCCTGTGAGCACGTTCCCAGCAGGGACAGCTGAGTGACCGGGGGGCTCTGCTCCTGCTGTCACCTGTCCCCTGGCCTGTGTCAGGGCGGAGGGAGGGAGGTGGCAGCTGCTCAAGGGCTCCGGGAGCCCGTTCCCATCCAGGGGGTAGAAAAACTGATGTCCTCCAAGAATTCCTCAACTCCTGAAGAGAGGAGGAACAAAGGGGCCACCCTGGGGCCCAGCCCTGGGACCTGCCAGGCAGGGACCAAGCAGCAAGACATGTCCCCAGGTGGCTGCCACCCCCAGTACGTCCCCCCCTGCCGCTCAGCCTGCTCCTGCTGCCCATACCGGGGTCTTCAGGTCTTTCAGTTGGTTCCTCAGCTGGAAGAGCTCAGAGGACGTCAGCAGGATGGTGTTGAGGGTGTGGACCATGGTGGAGGCGAACTTGAGGTCCTCTTCCCGAAGGAGTATGTCTGCCATGGAGTGGAAGATGTTTTCTGCATTCAGAAGTAGACAAAGCTGCCTGCGTACCACAGAGGATAAAACCAGGGGGGGAGGGATGGTTAGTGAGTGCAGCCCAGACCCTGACCTGGACCCCGCATCACCCCCTTCCCCAGAGAGGCCTGGGATGAGAGATACGGGTGCAGCAGAGCTGGGGTGAGCACGGTGCCAGGACAAGGGGGGTGTTTTGGGGCGATTTCAGGCTCTGCATTTAGAGGATGCAGCTATTCACATCGGAGCCAGGCCAAAGAAATAGCCCGGCTCAGACACAGCCCCAGAGCCAGAGGCTGCCTCTCTCTCTGCAGCCCTCCTTTTCTCCCAGTAACCCTGCCCCATTGCTCTTTGAACTCCCCCATCCTCCAGCTCCCATGAGATCCGGTGCCGAGGGGCTCCAGAGCTCCGGGTGCTGAAGCTGGAAGATGCCTTTGCTCCGCCGGATCCCCAGCTCTCCCCAAAACACGGCGTAACTGGCGCCGGGGTCCATGCTGATCTGCTGGGCTGGGCCCAGAGGGTCACGGCAGGAATGTCCTGCTTACCAAACCTTGGGGCATTCTCAAGGTTTTCAGCATTTTAAAACAGAAACCAAAACCCAATTGTTGGGTTTTTTTCTTTCCTTCTGTGTTTGTTTGGATTTGGGGATTTCCTCTTCTTCTCCAGGCTTTGCCTTCTTGGGCAGTTTGTCTGAGGACACCTGAAATGCTGCCCAGAACTGGCTCAGCTCTCCGGTGCTCGTGTCGGGGAGACCCCGGCGAGCCCACCCAGCTCCCCAGCTTCTCCTGAAACTGGGATGCTCCCCGGGTCCCCACATCTGCCCTACAGTCTGACAGGGAACCTCGGCATCAGGGGAGACGTTGGCACCCCCCAGAGCTCCTCTGTGTTCCCCCACTGCCCACCAAGCACTGCTCCTCACCAGATAAATCTCAGCTGGCAACCGAATCCCACCCAGAGGCATCTCCAAAGGGTTTGGGAGGCACAACAAACAACACCCACATCACCGGCCGGCTGGGAGGTGTTCGCTGGCTGCCCCCTGGGTTTGTCCAGGAGACACACCTGAACCCCAGCTCCAAGGTCAGGTTTTCACCTCCTGGGGTGAGGAAGAGGAAGGAGGTGAGTTTCCAGCCCCCATTCCTGCGGAGAAGGACTGGTGAAAGACTAGATAGCTATAGGAAGACCCCAAAGACCATACCCTAAAGCCTGGTGTTTAGGGATGCAGGAGGTGGCTAGGGAATGAAGAAATGGATTTTTCCTCCCAACACGTGGAGGAATAAACCCCCAGTCTTCCTCCCAGTTCTGCCAAGCCACCCATCCCCTCCTCACCCAGCCTCGGCTCCTCTCCACCGGCACCTCCCGCATCCCGCATGGCCGCCGCCGGACAATGAGATGCTCTGTGCGGGCTTTTACGTAACCCAACCCGGCGATCGCCCTGGACCCCGCTAAAATGGAACGGGCCGTGATAAATAAGCTCATTTATCCCAATTATTCTTACGTAACCGGCTGCATTCATGGGGATGAAAACGCTTCCCCGATTTCTCGCCGCTTGGACGCGGGCTGGCTGGAGGAGGGAGAGCGATGGGAAAGCGAAGCATCGAGGGAGGGAAGGGGAAGGCAGAGGCTTTTAGTCCAGCCTGATGGAGCCAAAAGCAAATCAATAGCTCAGCACTGCAGGCAGGATCCGGTCATCGCCAGCTGCGGCAGAGCGAGCCCAGCCTGGGCAGGTCCGAGCCCAGCCCAGGAGCGAGCTGGCTCCATCCCTCCACCAGTAAGAGGGGATAACTGGATGCCCCATCCTTGCTGAGCTTCCTCCAGGAGCGGCGCCGGGCACTCGGACTGTGAAATGGGATGATTTACTGTCCCAAAGAGGGGATGGGTCCTCCAGGGACAAATACTGGGATGGTTTTCCGCCCCATTGCCAAGTGCCCAGCGTGCTGGTACAGCCAGGGACCGGCTCTTCTGCTTGTGGCCGGTGGGGAGATGGTGTTTTACACCTTCCAGGCAGCCAGGCCATGAAAAGTCAGAGTGGTTCCAAAAAATGTTTATCGATACTGTGATAGGTGCTTTACATAGATAAATAAAAGTATATATATAAAAACCCAAACTCAGCCAAACCAAAACCAGAGTTGGTGAGTGTTGAGGGCAAATTCAGCCACCTCCGGTGCTGCACGGATGCTGTTTGGGTCCCCGCCTCGCCGCTCCTTCATGGAAAAGGAGGGCTCTTGCTTTCCATAAATAGGAGCTCTGACATTTGGCTGGCTAACGCCATGCTCCCCGCGAGCGGGGGCGCTGAACGCAAGCCGCTTTCTTAATTTCAGGCCTGGTTTTGATTAGTGGGGAAGGGTTGGGTTTGTTCCCCCTCCTTTCAGTGGCACTGGGAAACTGGAAACTGCCGGGGTGTTAAAGGAGCAGCTGTGCAGAGTCTGTCACCCCCAGGGGATGCTGCCCCACTGAGAACCACCAGCAGAATGAGTTTGTCAGTGCTCAGCGGCCTCCCCTGACGCAGCCAGAGACCCCAAACTCCCCTCCTGGTGAAGGCCCTTGGTTGGCACACCCCAAAAGTGGTCCCCAAAGGAGGGGACAACTGGCTGGCCGCGCAGCTGCTG